AGGGAAACGAACACAGGAAACCAGCAGGTTCTGTAAGCAACAACATTAACAAAGTCTGGTTCCTTGTGGGTTTGCCTCTCACCCCTAATTGCAAGGGCTGATTTAAGATTTTCCTATGGCTGGAATACTTATAAGGGCTTCTTTTGATGGACTTCTTTCCATGTTACCTGGCTGTATGTTCATGAAATTTGGAATAATTTAATTGGTATGACTCCAGGGGACACCTGGGCACTATAAGACTATATGCCTTACTTATCTAGGAAGGCAGACTAGAAGTCACAGGGTTTACTTATTTACAATACCTAAAGATTTTTTGCTTTCATTCTACCCAAGCAAGAAACAAAGAAAAAAAATAGCTGAATAGGAATAAAAAAATCATGTTAAATTTGTGCAGAAACAGAAGAGGAAAAAAAAACCCAAACCTTCAAAATATTGCAAAGTAGATGAACTCCACAGATGCAAATCCACATCTTCATTACTAAGCAAGTAAAGTGATATCAGTTGAGAAATTTTTTTTGATTCACAGATTTTATTCAGCTTTATTTTCGTGAGAGACCTACTTAATAAAAGGCATTAAATATTTTAGAAGAAAATTCCTACCAGAATTCTACTAAATATTGATTCAATCAGCAACCAGCACATCCTCCAAGTCACCAAACTGAAAGAAACAAACCGCCACAGTAAAGGTATACCCCTCAAGGCTCATTGATTTGTAAACCTTTACACCTGAAAAAGAAACCGAATAAATTTTTTCTGAAGGACAAAGAGGAAGAAAAGGTGAGCAAGTTCTTTCTCATCCTCTCTGCATTGCCTCTAAATCTAGGATAGCATTTTTGCCCTTCACAGCAGGTCCAGTGACTGTGCAGTCTCTTCTGTGTTTTTTTCAGACCACACAAGAGGCAAATGAATGTGAAGATTAGAAAACTATTGCACTGAATGCATAAAATCAGATTCTGAAGATAAAGTTATTGAATGTTAAAACAGCTTTCTTAGCATCCTGCTTTTCCAGGCCAGGTAAGTGTTTCCACCAGGCAGGTTTATATTTGCATATAATAAAATTTCAGAGCACTTCTCCAAACTTTTTTCAGGTAGCTTTGCAGATTAACCATCACCTTAGTGATGGAGAGCTTACCCTTGGAAAGACTCACAGCTAACCATTAGGGGTCCTATTTAACTGGCACAGTAACCTTAATCACTGTTACATAAAAGCAGCAAAGTAGCCACTGAGGAAACAATTCAGTAGGAGAAAAGTCGGCGAGCAGACAGACTTCAAGGCATTCAAGACAAACCTAGGAGGTGCTTCCAGAAAGCTATAATGCGGGATGACAGACTTGCTCTTCTAAATCCCTTGCAGGGTGGTCTGACCCCGGCAGCCGTAACAGCTGGATCTGGGTTTTGAGACCCTCCGTGACCCCCCATCTCACCAGCGCAGGCTTTAGCCCACCTCCACATCCCAGGAATGCAGCTGTCTTCCCCATCTGGCAGCAGCTGCTGTTGAAAACGCTCCTCCGGCACCTGCTGCAGAGATCCAGGCAGTTGTTACACAGCGAAGCTGGAAGGGACAACTGCTGCCCCTAACACAGAGAGCCGGGCTGTTACTTCTGCAAAAGCCAGGAAAGCACCAAACAGCTGTTGCTGACTCACAGACAGAGTCAAGCTACTGTTGCCCTGACAGATAGTGGGTGGCAGTTGTTGCACAGAAGCCGGGAGCAAATGGCATTTGGCAGCAAGGCAGAATTTCTCTCACCTGTGGCACCATTGCCCGTCTCGCCAAGGCAAAACGCAGCAGTCAAAAGGAGCCAGAAGACCACATTCAGCCTAACAGCCAGCAGCTGGATAGGGAGGACTTAGAAGTCTGCCTCTC